CAGCCTGGACATGGAGGAGATATGGACGGTAAAGGGTCCTGACTTGGGGGGAAATCCTGGCCGGTGATGGATCGCCGGCCATGGAGTGAGACAGTGGAGAGGCGACGAGAGAGGAGCACGGCGGTGATCAAGGGTCGTCGTCGGACGGTCGAGACCAACCCCAGAAATCTTTTTTGGGGGGGCACACGGCATGGACGACGGGGCTGAACGGAGGAAAAAAAGGGGCGGATCCAGAAGGCCACCAGGCCCAGGGGTACACCGCCCTGTACGTCCTGTGCGGATGCCTCACACAGAGTGTGTGAGGGTAGGCATTCAGCCAGGACGGGTTGTGGCCCGCTCTTCACTCCAGGCCTCCTATCCGTCTCCACAGCCCGGTTCGGCCATGTCCCTGCTCCACGCACCAAGCCTACGGTGTGCGTCGCCAGCCCAGCCTGTCCCTGCTCCACGCACCAAGCCTACGGTGTGCGTCGCCAGCCCAGACCGGCCTGTCCCTGCTCCACGCACCAAGCCTACGGTGTGCGTCGCCAGCCCAGTCCGGCCTGTCCCTGCTCCACGCACCAAGCCTACGGTGTGCGTCGCCAGCCCAGCCCGACCTGTCCCCTGCTCCACGCACCAAGCCTACGGTGCGCGTCGCCAGCCCGGCCCGGCCTGTTTCCTGCCACTCGCACCAAGTCTACGGTGCGCGTCGCCAGCCCGGCCCGGCTTGTTCCTGCCACTCGCACCAAGTATACGGTGCGCGTCGCCAGCCCGGCCCGGCCTGTTCCTGCCACTCGCACCAAGTCTACGGTGGCGCGTCGCCAGCCCGGCCCGGCTTGTTCCTGCCACTCGCACCAAGTATACGGTGCGCGTCGCCAGCCCGGCCCGGCCTGTTCCTGCCACTCGCACCAAGTATACGGTGCGCGTCGCCAGCCCGGCCCGGCCTGTTCCTGCCACTCGCACTAAGCCAGGGGTGCGAGAAAGTCAGCCTGGTAAGGCCCGTTCCTCCTCCACGCACCAAGCCAGGGTGTGCGAGTCGTCAGCCTGGTAAGGCCCGTCCCTCCTCCACGCACCAAGCCAGGGGTGCGAGTCGTCAGCCTGGTAAGGCCCGTTCCTCCTCCACGCACCAAGCCAGGGGTGCGCGTCGTCAGTCCAGCACAACCCGTGCCTGGGTCACCGGTGCCTGGTAAGGTACCGGTCAACTGCTCCACTATGGAGCTGAAGCTAACCGCTCCTGCTAAGTCCAGTCCTGCTCCTGCCGGCGGGGCCAGACTGGACCAGGGGCGCTATGGGGGGTGTATTGGAGGGTGGTGGTCAAGGCCGGAGCCAGAACCGCCGCCGAGGAGGTATGCCCGCCCAGCCCTCCCCTGTTTTGTTCAGTTGAGGCGCGGTCGCAGTCCGCGCCTTTAGGGGGGGGTACTGTCACAACCCTGGCTCTGGGACTCATTATGTTGAGCCAGGGTGTGTTCATTCTATGTGTGTATTTCTATGTTGGTAATTCTGTTTGTGTTTAATTCTATGTTTGCCTGAGTGACTCCCAATCAGAGGCAACGAGTGTCAGCTGTTGGCTGGTTGTCTCTGATTGGGAGCCATATTTAAACTGTATGTTTTTTCCCTTTGGGTTTGTGGGTTTTTGTTCCGTGTTCGGTCATTGATACCGTGGACGTCACGAGTCGTTTCTTGTTTTGGTATTGAGTTTTAAACTTTAACTAATTAAAGTATGTTTGTTCATCACGCTGCGCCTTGGTCTGTTCCATATGACGATCGTGACATGGTGTTGCAGACTCTGGGGCCTTTCAGAACAGTTGTATATATACTGAGATCATGTGACACTTAGATTGCACACAGGTGGACTTTATTTAACTAATTATGTGAATTCTGAAGGTAATTGGTTGCACCATATCTTATTTAGGGGCTTCATAGCAAAGGGGGTGAATACATATGCACGCACCACTTTTCGTTATTTTTTTATTTTTATTTTTGAAACAAGTTATATTTTTCATTTCACTTCACCAATTTGGGACTATTTTGTGTAGTCCATTACATGAAAATCCGAATAAAAATCAATTTAAATTACAGGTTGTAATGCAAAAAAATAGGAAAAACACCAAGGGGGATGAATACTTTTGCAAGGCACTGTATAAACATCATACTAGGTGGGTTGTGTGTGGGTTATTTGAAAAGCCCTATTGGAAAACAACAAATAAAAAATAGCCAGGCCTTATGTAATTTGGTAGCTCCTTTTTACAACCTAAGTATAAAAACTGCAGAATTTTACTAAATTCTCCCCTAGCCTACAGACTTGGGAAACCATTCCAATGGGAGATAAGGAAATCCCCTTTCTTCTGGAAGAGAAAGTAACATTTCGTTAACATTCAGTTATAATCAGCAATCCAAAAATAGTAATTACACACAAACATGATTCATATATACACCGTCCTACCTCACATCAATAGTCGTTTGTTTTAATCTCTCATAACTACTCCAGTCGAAGATTACATAAAATCTCTCAAAAGATGAAAAACCACTCAATTTTCTCTGAGTTTACAATGAGTATTTGTAATTGATTACCCTTCAGACTTCATCCTCTGTAATTCTCACAATGATTATTCAACCCCAAAATCTGCTCCTTTTGATCCCATATCAAATTATCCTAGTATCGTTACTTGATCAACAACATAGGAAATATCTGTTTCCCCTGATATTGTTCCTGTCACCCCTCTAAATGTCATATTTAATTAATTCGCCAATATAATCAATTACTCTGCGTAAGTAAGCCGTGATATCTTTCCCTTAACATATACTGTAGGGGACTTCCATCAATCCTGGATAAAAAACTCCCACTCAAAACACATCAGATAATACCACGTTTCATTAAGTTCACTACACCTTCTAATATAAACCTATAACCCCTTTCCGGTAATGTAATCATCGCAACCTGTTGTATTGATGTACTAAAATATAAACCTATTGTTTAATAAGTCCAGAACCTACAAAACATTTTTACTACTCCATCAGCCTAATAGTAAAAACTACCTGCACTCCACTGGTCCACGTAAAGAAAACAAATTATCGTTTTAGAATTCATTAACTATTTGCATACATCACTGGTGTTACGCAAACTATATAATGTAATAATAATAATTAAAAATTGTCACAGAATGGTCTATATTCAACTATCTAGACATGTGCTCCTCATTACCCTCTGCGTCCTTTATATCTTTATCCACAAACCACTACTACCTAATAACATATTTTTAATTGACCTTACTACAAATAATTATTTTAATACCAGTCTATTCAAACAATCCAATTCAACATTTATCATCTCCTAATTAACCTACTTATCCTTCTAACACAGAAAAACCCTCAACAATATATATTATTCTCTATCGCTGACTTTCCATCTAACGGTACTTTAGCATATGACAAATTATTTTTAAGTTATAGTCAAAACAAACAAAACATATATTCACAGTGATGCAACTTTAATTTCTATGTTATCCTATACGATGTGTTGGTAAAACAATCTCTTTCCTATAATGTTATCAATTCACCCAGTGATCTAGGTCAATAGCATCTATGTAAAAGTTTTGCTTCCGTCCCTACCTGGGCTTGAACCAGGACCCTCTCAAAATAGCTATTTCATGACTTATTCCATGATGATATAACACATCTCTCTATTTCATGATGATACTACACATCCAAATAGTTATTTCATGAATTATTTCATGATGATACAACACACCTCTCTATTTCATGATGATACTACACATCAAAATAGTTATTTCATGACTTACAGTGGGGGAAAAAAAGTATTTAGTCAGCCACCAATTGTGCAAGTTCTCCCACTTAAAAAGATGAGAGAGGCCTGTCATTTTCATCATAGGTACACATCAACGATGACTGACAAAATGAGAAAAAAAATCCAGAAAATCACATTCTAGGATTTTTAATGAATTTATTTGCAAATTATGGTTGAAAATAAGTATTTGGTCAATAACAAAAGTTTCTCAATACTTTGTTATATACCCTTTGTTGGCAATGACACAGGTCAAACGCTTTCTGTAAGTCTTCACAAGGTTTTCACACACTGTTGCTGGTATTTTGGCCCATTCCTCCATGCAGATCTCCTCTAGAGCAGTGATGTTTTGGGGCTGTCGCTGGGCAACACGGACTTTCAACTCCCTCCAAAGATTTTCTATGGGGTTGAGATCTGGAGACTGGCTAGGCCACTCCAGGGCCTTGAAATGCTTCTTACGAAGCCACTCCTTCGTTGCCCGGGCGGTGTGTTTTGGGATCATTGTCATGCTGAAAGACCCAGCCACGTTTCATCTTCAATGCCCTTGCTGATGGAAGGAGGTTTTCCACTCAAAATCTCACGATACATGGCCCCATTCATTCTTTCCTTTACACGGATCAGTCGTCCTGGTCCCTTTGTAGAAAAACAGCCCCAAAGCATGATGTTTCCACCCCCATGCCTCTTGCCATTCGAACTACTGAACAAAGAAAACCTCTCAGTTTATACCTTTTGTTACACGTTTCTTCAACAACATCTGTTAACCATCAGTGGGCACTCCCCTTCTTTGATGTTATTACCTTGTACCCCCAAGTCAGTATATAATGTCTATCATTCATTCTAAAGATAAACCACCAGTAAGCTCCCTTGACATACTGGAATCCTTGGTATTCAAACACTGTGGCACCCAGAATCACTTATTCTGCATGCGTCATGTAAAATACTGAACCTCCCCTTTAAGTTATTGTTTCATTGGAATTTTCTTTAAGCGTGGAATATTTATTGATATATTTATATTAATTAAGGCCTACTGTATATTGGAACCCACAGGACATTGGTTAAGACAGAGATAATCTAATATCTCTAAGAGCATTTTAAAAAGAGCATTAATTGCGATGGACAATATTTGATTGTGAGAGTCCAGAAGATAAGTAATCACAGACTGGACTACTGACTAATACTTACATTATGAAATGTCTTTGCCCCTGTCTACCTCTCACTGTAGCACCACTGTGTGTCCATTGGAGCAAACCTGGCGTCTGTGCACAGCTCTGCGGAATATCAATTTCTACAGGAAGTGGTGGGGAGCAAGATTGGCGGTTCCTCTACTACCTGGATTGGAGGATTTGATGCTGTTCAGGTGGAGTATACTCACATATCAGTAGTATCTTGGTATACTCATCAATATCTCAAGGGTCACTGGTAAAGTCAGATCTAGGTTTGGAAGATCTTATAGATCTACAAAAAAACACTGCAGTATCCACTGGCATACTATAATAATAATAATAATAATAATAATAATAATAATAATAATAATAATAATAATAATAATAAAATAATAATAATAATATGGGATTGCTTTGTTACTGAGACCTCACTTCTTCACCACAGGACAGGCTATGGTTTTGGAGCGACGGCTCCGAATTTGATTACCAGAACTGGAAGAAAGGAGAGCCCAATAATAGCGGTGGCAGAGAGCCATGTATGGTGATGAACTGGGGAGGGTACAGTAGGCCCACTATCATTCACTGATACATTCATCAAATTAAACTTTATTCATAGTACATTTAACAAATAAAACTGACACACACACCACATCCCGCAAACACACTATTATATTATTGTGTGAACATCTGAGATTATTTGAGAGGTCATTTCTGTTCTGTGTTTCCTTTTAAGATGAATACCGCTGGAACGATATAAACTGTGGAAACAGCTTTCCCTCTGTGTGCTCCAAAAGAATCTGTGAAATAGAGAAAAACTGAAACCATAAATGCTACTCGATAGTGTCAGCATCCAACTGAACACTTTTTATGGTAAGTCAAATATTTAGTAAACGATTATTGTTGCTGTAAACTGTACGTTTGAGTTAGTTGTTGTTCATAAATTGTTGAGTAATGGTTTTGTTGTTATTGTCAATAAAACGGTTGTACACATTATTAGTTTTCTCTTATGAGTCATTATTAAACATGAATGATACTGCCATAATTGTAAGAGGTTTCTTAAAGGTACAGTCTAGGATTTCAGAGTTTGTTCAATGGTCATTTAAATTCTGATATTTATCCATTGATTCAAGATTATTATTGTAAACAAAACGGATACAAAAATAACAATTTAATTTGGATAAACAATTTAGTAAACTGAAATAAAATAATTAATACAAATATTTCAAAAAATACAACTATACTGAAACTATTATCTTTGACTGCAAATTAAAATAAAAACCATCATCAATTGTTTTGTTTCATTTTTTTCCCCTTTGGGCAATAATCTAATTGGGATTTTCAAGCTTTTCTTTCTAATGGGGTTTTCCAGTGTAGTATCTGAGGAATTATGACTTTGCTAATGTTTTCAGATGGTATCTGAGAGGATGTTTATTCAGCTTAGAGGGAGGCATCTGGGAGCAGTTTTATGGGGACACCCCATAGAACAGAGGAAGTCTGTTGTGTGGAGACAGGTGATTGGTCTGTATGGAAATCCACCCATATCATGGTAAAGATTATAAATACTTGGTTGAGACAAAGTAGATCAGAACAACTTATTATTTTGGGTCGTTGGTCTCCAGATGTCTGCAGATATCTGTAAATTGAAGCTGTAACCCTTTGATATAAATAAACTTTTATGATCAAAGTACAGCGTCAGCGGATTTCCTTGGTCTCACAGCATAATTAGCAACGTTTTCTCGACACAACACAAAATGGCGACGAGGATTTGGACGAATTGTGTTTTTTTCTCAGCGTTCCATTCATGGGCGCCAAGCTGACTCTGGCTCCAGAATCCGGCAGATAGGGTGAGTTTTCTCACCACTTTGGGCTCTGGTTAGTTTGTTGTGTCTGTGTGTCTGTGCGTTGAATAATGCACCGTTAAGACTTGCGTGTGTGCTTTGCTGTTATTTGCTGTGGGATAGGAGTCCGTTCTAAATTTGTTTGCGCTGGTAAACAACGCAAAAGGGGGGAGTGTCTATAGGGATATTTTGCTTGAATACAATTCAAGAAGAATAGATTGAAAGGAATAAGGGCCAAGTAAATGTATACAAATTAGGACCATTGCGAATCTATGGAAGCCCTCTCAGGAGGGCGATCATTAGGATGGGCCAAAAAATCCTAAAAGCACGTTAGGTGTATTTAAGGTAAGTCCAGGGGGCATGAGGCTGTGGTATATATATTCGGTTGCAAGTTACCTCTCAACATGTGGTTGACGATTATATGATTGATGTGACCGCTCATTGAATTTCCGCGGACTCGGGGGGGTAGCCAAATTTTAAAAAAAGGAATTTTACCCAAATGGGAGGGAAATTCATGACTGTAATGTTATTGGGCCCTTTAAAGGATTAAGCCTTTAAACTTTTTTTGGTGAGAAAGATTAGATTTGTGTTTTTGTTTTTTTGACTTTTAAGTTTTTGTTTTGCCCCTTGGGGGGTAAAAGCGGAGGTAAACACTGTTATTTCTGTTTTGGCTTGGGAGAGCTGGGAGAAAGTTCATTGAAATGGTTTTTGGAAAATGTAATATCATGTTTATGTTTTAAATTACTGGGGCCATAACCCATTGCATAGCGCTGGGGACGGACAAAGGAGAAAGTTTTAAAAACCCAAAAAAAAAATTTTTTTAAAAAAACCGGGGTTTTTTGAGAAAAACCCCACAGAAGAAAACAGAGAAGGACGGAAAAAAAAAAAAAAAAAAAAGAGGCAAACAACCGAGAAGGCCCCCGCATGTAAAGGGAAATTTGGTTTTTGAAAAACCCTTTGGGCAAACTAAAATCTTGTTTTTTCTTTGTTCTTTTGTCATATGAAACAAAAAGAAGGAGAGAGAGAAGAAAAGGGAATTGCTGACGTGTACTCATCGACGGTCTGCTGCAACGGATCAAGTCAAATAAAGGCCAGTACTGTTCTTTTTTACAAAACTTACCTTCCCATACAGGAATTTTTGTGCCTACATAATTGTGTATGAAAATTTTGACAAGGATTTGGGCAACAACTACCCAATTGATTAATTGCATATTGGAGTTTTTTGCATGAGGGGGTTTGATTAGAGTTCTGTTGGAACGAGTACTGACATTATTCGAAAAATTTAAAGGAATTGGGGCTTTTTAAGCTTGGTTTTAACGTAGTTTTTGCGTTTTGTGGCCCTTTTTTTTTGGGATTGCTCTAAGTTTGCTATTTTCCTTTACTTTTCCGTGGGAGTGGTAAATTCCCAAAAAATTAAAACTTGGTAAAAAAAAACTCAAAAAAAAAAAAAAAAAAAAAAATTTTTTTTTTTTAAAAAATTTTATACTTTTTAATTGATTATTTTTTTTTAATTTTTTAAAAAAATAAAAAAAAAAATAATAGGGGGAAAACCAAACAATGCAAAATAAAAAAATAATTCCCAATAAAGGAATAAAAAATTGTTACAATGGGGAAAAAGGCTAAAAACATAAAAGGAATATCCTTTTGATTAGTAAAAATAGTAATCCTCTTTAAATGGTATTGCAGGTTATCGGGAAAATGGAATAACTTTGGGCCTGACTTTGAACACCATGGCCATGGAAGGCTCTTAACCCTGACTCAAAACATAATGAATGCTTCTGTCAATTCTAAGGCAATCAAAAAAAGGGAAAAAAGGGAACATGGTAAGAAAGAGACAAAGAGGCTGGTGTTCTTAACGTTTGAAAATAAGGACAAAAATGTAAAATACCAAATAAAAAAAACAAAATTAGAGAAAAAAGAAAAAACGTGAAGTGACGAAAAAATAAAGACGAAAAATCATACACCTTCTCACATCAGATTTCCCAAAAGCCCCCCCCTTAAAAAAGTAGAGTTTAAGGACTCTATCCTCGCTTCCAAAATCATTTAGGGGGGTGTTATTCATCGAGATGGGGAAAAATAATGAGACAGGCGCAAAACACCTAAAAAATCCAACTCCAAATAGAAAAAGAGATTCGGAAAATAGGGGAGTGAGGTTTGGGGGGAACTTGAAATTATAAATATATGAGCAAGTGATTCAGAAGAGATCATGGGGGATATGCCCTGTTCAACGAGGTTGGGCCACGGAAAAAGGGGGTGGATTTTGAAAAAAGAAAACAAATATTTCCAGTTCTATGAAAGCAAATAAAACGCATAAAATTTTGGGGAATTTAAAGGTGCTGCATTTCAAGAGGGTTTTCCCACAATGTTAGCCAAGAAAAAGAAAGATATAACCGTGCTATTATCCTGGGTAAAAACAAAAATTTTAAAAAAAAAAGAGAACTGGAACAACAACTCAAGAAGCTGAAGATACAGAAAAAAAAACTGCTGAGAAAAGGATCCCAAGAATTGGAGAAAAAATATACATTGAGGCCAAGGAAAGAGGGCACCAGTAAGAAAAATGATGCCAGTGATCATTCGAGGACAAAAACCTAGAATATAAGCCTTTGCAAAATACTGATATGTCAGATATACTTGAGAAGCTGCCTACTCTTCAAGATGGAGCCTATCCTTGGATTTCAAAATTGGAAGAAATTACGGTGGGAACACAGTCAGCCATAGGAGAACATTAAGAGACTTTTGGATAATCTCCTTGGGATTCCAGATATGGAAGAAATATTTCAGAGAGCTGGACTCAATAGATATGTGGGGACTGCAGTGAATGATCCTGAATTGTTGGCTGCAAGTAGGAATCGGCTGTGGAGAGCACTGAAAGATACGTTTCCAACAAATGGTGCATCCTGACAACATTCTGATTGATCCACTAGGACAACAAGAAAATCAGAGAGCCTATGTGTCAAGAGTCCATCAAGTGTGGAGAAATATTACCGGAAATGATCCAGATGTGAGTCAAAATTGAGGCAGTCAATTTTGAGAGCTAAACTGCAGATGGGACTGCCCTCACCAGTAAGGAGCAAACTGCAAAGGTTGGTTGGACTTGGAAGCATGACAAAAGGTGTCTATACAGATCATATAGCCCATGAAGTGGAATCTGTACAGGAAAAGGAACACAACCAGAAAGAACAGGACCAAGAAACTCTCAGAAAACTCAATCAAATACAACTGGTGGAGAATAGAAGGAGAAAAAACAAGCTTTGGTTATGCAGAATCAGTGTGCAACCAAATCAACAATCACTGCCAGAGCTTCAACCGGACCAGTTCCAACCGCAATTGTACCAGCCCACCAATAGCGGTACCAGTTGTTCCATATCCACAGCCAGTTTCTGGACAGACACAGAATTGGGAGAGGAAGAGGACGAGAAGGCTTAGAAAGAGGAAGAGGAGGAAGATTTAAGCCATACTTCCAGCAACCTTCAGAAGTGTGTTATAATTGTGGACAGGTTGGTGACTTTGCTGTGAGTGCAATGGGCCAGGAGGAAACATCAGAGGGAATTTCAGAGGAAGATACAGGGGTCAGTCAAGATCATCTGGAGGACAGGTGAACCCCTATAGGGGCCCGGAGCAAGGATTCTAGGGGTGCCCAGTAGATCCGAAAGGGGGGTGTCAGCTGGTAGCATCAGGACCGGAAAAAGATCCAACAATTGAAGTGAAAGTAAACAAAGGACCATGGGAGGTGATGATGGATAGTGAACCTGCTTTTGTCTGTGTTCAGCCTAAAGAGGTTACACATCTCACTATGTCAAATCAACTAATTAGGATAGGGATTCGAGAGAGTAAAACTGCTGATTCCTCTTACGGAACCAATTGAGCTCTGCTATAAAAATCAAAAATTACAATACCCATACTGGTATCAGAACATACACCTATTGCATTGTTGGGAAGAGATGCATTGTGTAAGTTGAACTGTACAATAAGATGTACACC